TTATCCAAAAATAATTGAAACTACGTAATTTACAGTCACACTAAACTAGTACAGTCAATACAAACTGAAATGGACCGTAACTCAAGGCAAAAAACAAAAGAGACTTTTAATCAAATTCCGTCATTCAATACAAAATAAAGAAAATTGAACCTTATTTCAAGTACGTTAAAGTCTTTACAAATACAGAGTTTGGAATACCTTATAAGAGTCGCGGCGGCCGTGCCATTGACCTCCCAGATCACCTGATTTGACACCTCTTGACTTTTTTTTTTATGTGGACGTATTAAATCATTAGTTTATATTAGTGACACAACAAGTGCCAAGGACCTAAAAATAGTAATTCAGTAATTGAGTGAACGATTTTAGAATAGTGAAAAATAACACTGAATTGCTTTCTAAATTATTTTCTTTCTTTTTCTTTTTTAAAACGTAACCTCGACACTAGGATTTCCTCTTGTATTGTTGGGGCAGTGTACAAACATAAATTTCACAAGGACAAACAACCAGACCCGGAACAATTATTTGTAGGCCAAACAAATATTGTTCGGTGCGGGATTCGAACCCACGGTCCTTAGCGGTAACGGTGTGACGTCATCGGATAACGAGCGCCCGCTGCGTTTTTAAAATCTTCGCTGGGAAACACGCACTTTGATCGTTAATATCTCAGCCAATTTTTAAGATATGAAAAAAGTAAAATCACAGTTTTTCTCGTATTATTTTGTAGATTTATTTGGCATATAAAGTAAAAAAAAACGTTTGTCAGACCCATTCAAATGTTATGCAAATTCATAACATTTTGTAACGAATATTGCCTATTGACATTGTATCATAATCAATAAACAAAATTATTCAGAGTCGAAAGTCCAATGGTTGAAAAGTGTGATTGAAAGATGCGATCAAATGTTTACTAGACTTAAATAAACAACTCGATGGTCGGACTCAGAGTACGAACATCAGTTAGTGATCATAGGTAGGTATTTTTTAACATAAACAATTGTGTATTGTCGGCTCTTTTCGGCACTAATACCTACCTACATTTGTGTCAAGCGGCGGCGGCGTTAACTCGTCTCGAACGCGAGCGAATAGGTACCTACTGTGATAGAAAGACCCTCAAAACTCATACCTACGTGAGCGACTGCGGGCGTTCGTGGATTTATACTGTGACCACAACATTGTTCCGGAATTAGTATAACTAATTTAATAAATAATCAAAGCATAAACATGTTTAATTAAATAGTCATTGTATGTATAATGATTATAACATAATAGACTAATTGGGGTGTCTGAGGGTGTGCGTTAATTACGTTATATATTGTATATTAAATTTTTAGATTTTTCGCAATTCTGCTAACATTTTTAAAGTAAACGTCAAACAAAGTTTGAACGCTTATCTGCCAGTTTGACGTAGTTCGTTACGAAACGCGGTAGTGATTGTGTGTGATAAAATTTTGTTACATTATAAATTCGTGTTTTCTCAGGTAAGAAGGTTAAAAATGATTGGTTTCAATTTCAAGCCAACTTTCGTAACATCAATTACGTAACGTTATGTATATCGGAACTAATTTTGTTACGTAACGGAATTATAAGCTTTGAATTAGAGTAGGTAGTTTGTCTGAATATGTCTGCAGCTACAAAATATGTTTTTTTTAAATATTTCAGATACTTTTAAAAGTTATCTTATTAAAACCTACCTACCAAACAGAATGCCTCTCACAGGGGCCGAACGGGCAAAACGCTTCCGAGAAAAAATAAAAAAAAGATAAAGAAAAGTATGAACTTTACAAGAAAAAAGAATTAGAACGAGTAAAAAAATGTTAAAAATGAATAAATGAGCTCAGCGAAGAAGAAGACAGAAAAAAAAGAAGACAGTGGAGAAATCAAAACAGCAAAAAAGAAAAGAAAATATCTTCTGAAGAAAGAAAATAAGAAACTAAGACTGAACCAAAGAAACATTAAAATTTGTAATCGTTTGAAGAAGAATATTTTTTTCGCGATCGATTGATGCGATGCAATCGAAAAAAAAATGAAGAAAGATTTTACTTACTAGTAGGACGATTTTTGTGTTCCTATATTTTATAAAAGTATTACTATAGTATTACACTAAGTAGAGATTGATCTTTTGAATTTTTAATTTTATAGCAAAACGGAACCCTTAAAAATATTATTAATATTTAAAGAACTTTAAGTATTGTTACTTTATTGTTTGTTTTTTTTTTAAATATATATTTCATACGCTGAAATATTTTTAGTTTTGATGACTCAAATAGCTAAAAATATTTCAGACAGATATTCTCATTAAGATAAAAGCTGTAGATGCAATGGATTGTGATTCGTTATTTGATAATTCCAATTATATTATATACAACAGTTAATAATCTCAAATACATTGTCGAGACTAAGCAACTAACTTCATCATCATCATCATCATCATTACAGCCCTTCACAAGTCCACTGCTGAACATAGGCCTCCCCCAAGGAATGCCATAAAGCACGGTCCTGAGCCACCTGCATCCATCGACTTCCTGCATATCTTACCAGGTCGTCACTCCATCTAGTGGGGGGACGCCCTACACTTCGCCTGCCGGTACGAGGCTGCCACTCGAGAACCTTTCTTCCCCATCGGTTGTCGGTTCTTCGAGCTATATGGCCGGCCCATTGCCACTTCAGCTTACTAATCCGTTGGGCTATGTCGGTCACTCTAGTTCTACTGCGGATATCCTCATTTCTGAGTTTATCACGCAGAGAAACTCCGAGCATAGCCCTCTCCATAGCTCGCTGAGCGACCTTGAGCTTCCTCATCCGGCCAGCAGTGAAGGACCACATCTCAGTTCCGTATGTCATCACTGGCAACACGCACTGGGTTCCTTTTCGTAACACATTATTCCATTAACGTAACTGTCCCACTGTTATTAGTTTTAATTTCTACGTTTCATCATCATCATCATCATTACAGCCTTTCATAAGTCCACTGCTGAACATAGGCCTCCCCCAAGGAATGCCACAAGCACGGTCCTGACTCCCTAGATCATAGCTACCGCTGCCACGTGTGTAGCGCAATTGGGGCAATTTCAATCAGTTAGTTAGCGACTTCACATCACAATGGATACCAATAAAAAATATGAAATTTGGACACTAGTGATAGAAGTGTATAAAGAGCGGCTTCTTCATCCAGTATCTCCTTTTTGTCTCTTTGCAGTAACACCGCAGAAAGAACTTTATTTGAACGTCGTAATGTTTTTAAACGTGGTAGAGTCATACTGCAGCTTTTAAGGGCTATGTTATGGGTGTAATTATTAATTTATTAGTTGTTTTATCAATAAATATGGGTGTCTATGGGCCACAGTATCCACTTAACATCAGGTGGACTGTGCTCATTTGTCACCCTTATTCTATATAAAAAGAGCCAAGGCTATATTTACCGATTCATTCATATTTTGATAAAACTAGCGCCATTCTCAACGCGTGTGTCAAGCGAGACGTACACTCTTACATAGAACGGCAGGCATGTGTGTAGAGACACTTCTAATATTGCCCCGATCGCTGTTCGTCCTAGATTGCCCCTGCGGCACGAAAGTGAGTAGCCGCCTTAAGATCGAAAGAGACCAAACGATTTTCTTTAAATTCTCATTAATACACAATCAGCCAATCTCAATTTCTTGATTCCGCTAAGGGACTGACAGCTGCCAACTAGTGCCACCAACATGTTTAATATTATATCTTCTAAATCAGAGCATGTTTTAGTTTTTCTGATTTAGAAGTTATAATATTAATAGATAAGTATACCTTTTTACAATTGACTAGTTATCATTGATTCGACGTTTTATGAAAATACATCGATACATCGAGTACATCAATAACTTTCCAAAACATCGGATCTATTCGATGCATCGTATTGTAAACATCGAGTGAATTCGATGCATCGATGTATATCGAATATCCCTACAGTGTGACCATATGTGGCAGGTTCCTGCCATTTTGGCAGAATTGGCCTCTTATTTTAGCCTCTGGCATGATCGGTTGACGTTTTATAAAACCTGGCAGTATTTGGCAGTATTGGGGTATTAAAAATGGATTTCATTATGGAAACTTAAAATGCCGAAAATGTAACCATTCTTACTTAGATACTTCGCCAGCATGTGGGGGATTTCCCTGCACTTCTCGTATCATGTTTGTATAACAATCAATTTAAAAGTTTGTATGTAAAGTTGATAATCTTAAAACGAGTTTGCATCGAGTTTATGCTTAATATTTCAATCAGCCATAGAAGAGATGTACTTTAGTTTGATGTCGCATTAGATTTCATGGTGATAATATCTTGTTAATAATATTTCGTGGACGATAGTAATTATAGGTGGTGGTGATGAAGCGAAAATATGAAAGGGCATATAGAGCAGAGTGGGAGCAAGATCCTTTACTTTCGTCGTGGATCTCCAAAACTAAAGGTGATCCAGACTGCAAATTGGCACCCCGGCTGTCCGCTTTAAACTTAAAGGCTTTAAAGGAGCATGCCGCTACAGGTAAACATCAGAAAATATGAGTGGCTTAGATTATTAATAGGTCATCGCGAAAACCTATCAATAATCTAAGATTGAAAAAAACAAAGCATTGGTGAGCGTGGCGATTGCATTGCATTCAAACTAACGAAAGATATGTTTAATTGAATTTAATAAAAATATAACATTTAATTTGTATTTTACTTTTCTTAGTATAATACAATGGTAAATAAAGTTGGCAGTATTTAGGCATTTTTCACTACAGTCTTTGGCAGGATTTGGCAGGTTTTTAACCAAAGTAAGGCAGGATCTGTGTTTTAAAGATGGTCACACTGTATCACTAACGCGTAGTGTTTTTATAGCTTGCTACATATATATTTATCTATGTTTTATAGGTAGTAGAGTAGAGACTAGAGAGTACATGGGTACTTAAAGTGGTTGTGTAATAGAAAGTATAAAAAGTAGATTTTTTTACTATTTGATTAATAACATTACTACTGCCGCAAAATGTATATCATTTCAAATGTAGTTAAAGTTACAATACCTAATTATTTAGCAAGTTTGCCAATTCCTGACTCTTTTGGCGGATGGTTCCGTCTTGGAGGTAAGTTTTTCTTTGTACAATTTGGACGAAATTAAAGTAATTGACTGTCTAGTTTTTTAAGATAGTATATTATAGATCATAAAATTTGTTATATATTATATATAATATCCAATTTAGTCCACTTTTCACCATCCGTTCATGTCATGATTCTGAAAAGTTACTATAATAGATGGTGTCCTTGATATGACGTTAGATATCAGCTGTAAGTAGAGCAACACTGTACATAATTATGATGTTGGCCTCAGCGTACATTTTATTGCGAAGAATGTTGGCTTCTGGCTTTAACTATTAATTGCTAAATGATTTAAGATTCATGTGTGTATTTAACAATTCAATATTATCCAGCACAAACTAATAAGAACTGTGTGGTTATCCAGTGTTATCTATCATACACAGATTGTAACCTATTTTGCTTAATGACATGTACCTAACATTATTAAAAGTTGATTAATTGTAGTTATTACTGAAATAAAATAATAAATTTTACTTTATATAAATATACTCAACCACAAACCAATTTGAAATAGTACCTAGCTTTTTAAAATTTTACTGTTTACCTATCTTGACAAGTTGTTAGTAGTCAAATCAGTTATCATGATCATCATTATCAATTAAGCCTATCATAAGTCCCTTAGAAATAAGCCTCCCCTATGAGTGATGTAACCAAACATGGCCCTAAACCACCTGCATCCATCGACTTCCTGTATGTCTTACCCGGTCATCACTTCACCTAGTGGGGGGCCACTCTGCACTTGTCTTACTGGTACAAGGCATCCTCACAAGATACTTCTTTTCCCATCTGTTTTTGGTTCTTTGAGCTATATGTGTGGCCCATTGTTACTTCCACTTTCTATTATTACCGCCATCTTGATCCGGACAATGAAATGTTAATGTGGCAGACAAAGTAGTAATAGGTAGGAGGACAAAGTAGTAACTATAGTAAATGTATATGTGTTTTGTGATTTTTCTAAACAAGCCCTTAAGGGGGAGGGAGGGTTTCAGAAATAAAATATCCAGTCTTTAGTTATTAAAAAATATTTTTAAAGTTTGATGCAAAGTTTGTATGAAAAATATTGTGTGTAGATGCACAGCCCAAACCACTGGACGTAGAAATGTAACATTAAGTCAATAGCTTCTTTTTATTACATAGGCATCTAATAAGGAAAGATTTCAGCTTTTATTTCAAAATTCAAACCATTCTAGGGTAATATAGGGTGTTGCAGTTTTTACAACACTTCTGATTTAACAGGGTTATTTCATATTTGTTTCATAAAAATTTGTTTAATTATTATTTTAGGCCTTGGTTGATTGATACTCAAAGACCTCAGCTTATTTTAAAATTTGTGATCATGGTCATGATTCTCAAATTTTGGTAAATAATTGCGATTTTGATTACAACATGATGCTTAGTGTTGCACAGCCCCTGTGATGAGAAAATAATAAATGTGTAATTTAAAAGGATTAGATACCTAGGTACAATATTTAAATCTTTCGCAGACTATATTTAAACTCTTGAGGACCACTGGTTGGGAATCACTGGTCTAGACGCTACAAGAAGCAGGTAACACCTCGGGGCGAAAGGCTAATAATTAATATAATATTAGATTATATATACTCCATTCGTTAGTTAATTAGTTGACGACGGGCTGTTTTCCGCAACTCCATGTCTAAGCGCGTATTTTGCGTGTGGGCAGGAATAATGTGATTATTAGTGCCATGAAATCTGCCCAAAGAAGTTCACCAGTCCTTTGATGTTATAAGCAACTTCGGGGAGTGATCTCGGCATGCCAAGATGTTTAGTCTTGTATGCAGAGACCTCCGGACATGTCAGCAACACGTGGGCCGCCGTTTCTTCTTCCTCCATACATGCTCTGCACAGTGGACTATCTGTAACACCCATGGTAAATAAATGTTTGTTAAAGGAGGCCATGTCCTGTGATAGCACTTGTTACTATTCTGATCTGTAGCTTGTTCAGTCTAGTTTTTGGTATTAAGAGTTTCATTAAAGAAAGTTTTCACTATGTTTTTTCAAAAATATCAATGAAATATTATTTAGTCTTGTGCTGGTTTTAGACTCTTGCCAAAGAATAACTCTTTTTTGTATTGTAACTCATACCCTTGACCCTTATATTATATTGAGCTTAAAAATTTATACTATCATAGACTGGGTGTAAAAATTTTATACCAGAAATACCTATAACATAAAAAATAAAACAATATCTAATTTCTTAAAATACATTCTAAGTTTCAGCCAGGGCCAGATTTAGGGCAGAGCAACAAGGGCTCTAGCCTTTTATAAGGAAGGGGCCTCCACAATTATCCTTCCTCCAAAAATAACAAAGGCTAAAATATCAAAATATCTATATAGATTGTATTGTACAAAAACATTTGTCAAAAAGGTCAATCTATGGATGGAGGAGCTACTACCAATAATTGGTATAATTATTATTCAATAACCAAAACTTCAGAGCTACATTTCTTGAATTACATGGGATGAAATTACATTGAGAATGTTTATGGTGTTGATGGTGTTCAATTGCACTGGAAAGTGCTCGTTTTCATTACCATGTCACAGAAATACGCCTATTAAAGTTAGCTCTACTGAGTAGAAAGTGGAATTGGATTTCGCTGAAATTATTATTTTCGCCAAAAAATCTCCTAAAGTACCAATCGCTTAACATTTTTTTTCTTTCGTATATTTTCAGTATTTTACAAAAATTACTAAAAACTGTAAAAAAATATTTTTCGTCTATTCCAAAAATTTTACGGGCCTCTACTTCTTGATTGCTGCAGGGCCCCCACACCTTTAAATTCGGCCTTCGTTTTAGTCTTAAGTAGTAAAAACTTTATTAAATATACTACAATAAGGCCAATGTATTTTATTGACCACATTAATAGTCATTAAGAAGGCTCTCATGGAATAAAATGAATTATTTATTACATGCAACATTCATGTCATGTCAAGGACTTATGTAATACTACTAAGTTGAATTCAAAATTAAATATAAAATATCTGGAATATGAAAGACATACCACTAATAGGTATTACGAGGGGCACACTGAAATTATCGGGAATAAGAAAAACCACATGCACGGTATAGCTAAATTGTATTTTAGTTATTCTAGTCGGAAGTTGATGTTGACAAAATGACTGATTTGTACGCTTCCACAGCTGCTTCGGCGTCTTCAAACCGTTGACCGCGTAATAAATCTTTCATTCTAGGAAATGTAAATAAATCGTTTGGGCTCAAGTCAGGGCTGTACGGAGGATGGCTCATCAGCTCAACGTTTTCCTGCTTCAAAAAATCATTTGGCTTCCGAGCCGTATGGGAGCTCGCATTATCGTGATGTAAGATGATGCGACGTTTCGGGTTATTTTTTCGGAGTTCGGCTATAATTTCTGGCAAACAAACCGTGATATACCTACTCAGCGGTAACCGTTCTGCGTTCCTGTAAAGGAATTGTAGCAACATGCCCCTTTTTCGAGACAAACGTAGCGACCATTTTCTTTGACACGCTGCGGGAGCGAACCACTTTTGTTGGTTTAACCTCGTCTTCGAAGACCCAAACAGCTGACTGATGTTTTATTTCAGGTTCGTATGAATAAATCCGTGATTCGTCACCTGAGACGATATTATAAACGGCATTTGACTTCCCTCCGTTGAAGCGTTGCAGAGTATTCCGGCACCAATCTACACGAGCCGCCTTTTGCTCTTCGGACAAATTGTGGAGAACCCAGCGGGAAACTAGCTTTCTTATGCACAGCTCATTATGTAATATCGACTGAATTGCAGTCATTCCGATACTGATAACAGCCCGAATCTGCTCGTATGTTACATGACGGTCATCTAATATAATAGTTCGCACAGCTGCGATGTTTTCAGGCGTAACCGCTGTTCTTGGTCGACCTGCAGAAGAAACAGTGCTGAGCGACACACGATCGCGTTGGAACTCGGCATACCAGCGGTATATTGTCGTTTGACTCGGTGCTTCAACATCATAAATCGGAACAAGTCTCGAGAGTCTTGAAGGTACGAAACTGTCCATCCTATGGCTGCGCGTAGACAGCGACGACCATCCCCAGGTCTACGCGTGCCTCTATAGGTCCCATAGCGGTAAGGCCTACTCGTCGACCACGTCCAAATGGCTACAGATTTCTTGCTACAATAGATCCCATCCGTAGATATAGTGATACTTGGCGATTTTAATGCCTACCACGCCGAATGATTCGGTTCACGACTAACCGATCATGCAGGGAGATCTGTTTATGACTTTGCCTTGGCATATAGTCTGACACAACTGGTTACTTCGCCTACGCGGATTCCAGATATGGAGGATCACACACCCTGCCTGTGGGACCTTCTGCTGACCTCTCATCCGGACGGATATCAGGTTTCTATCGACGCCCCTCTCAGTTCTTTGGACCATTGTCTGATCCGGAGTGTGGTCACTCACGCTCCCTTCGCGGTTGCATTCTGCAGGCTGCTGCCGTGTTTGGTATTACAGGTACTACGAGGGCGGCACTGAAAATTTCGGGAATCAAGGAAGTGACACAACATTACTATTTAAAAATGTATTTATTGCTTTTCGAAGTATTCTCCGCGAAATTTGACACATTTTTCCATACGATGGAATCAATCATTGAAGCAACCATTCCATTCGGAAGTTGGGGTCTCCAAAATGGCCGTTTTGTAGGCGTCCACAGCTTCTTCAGGTGATGAAAATGTCTGTCCACGCAATTTATTCTTTATTTTAGGGAAAGTATAGAAATCATTAGGGCTTAGGTCGGGGCTGTACGGCGGATGGTCTAATAATTCTGTGTTTTCTTGCTCTAAAAACTCTTTTGTTCTGTGTGCGGTGTGAGAACTCGCATTGTCGTGATGGAGGATGATACGACGGTTGCAGTTCTGTTTACGGAGTTCAGAAACGACCTGTGGCAAACAAATGCTAGCATACCATTCTGCATTAACCGTTCTTTGTCTCTCAAGAGGAATAGTCGTAACATGGCCGGTTTTGGAGACAAACGTGGCCACCATTTTTTTGCAACACTCCGTGAACGAACAATTTTTGTTGGCTTTAACTCATTTTCGAACACCCAAACTCGTGACTGGTTTTTTGTTTCGGGTTCGTACGCGTATATCCAGGATTCGTCACCTGATACGATGTTGTATACAGCATTTGAGGATCCTGTGTGGAATCTTTCGAGAGTTCTGACGCACCAAGTAACGCGAGCCGCTTTTTGCTCTTCACAGAGCGAATGCGGTATCCATCGGGAAAACAACTTTTTTACACCTAATTGTTCATGCAAGATTATTTGTATTTGACTCATGCCAATGTCTAAAGTTGCATGAATTTCGCGGTAGGTCACATGTCGATCTTCCTCAATCAGCTTACGCACAGCATCAACGTTTTCTTGGGTGACTGCAGTTTTTGGACGACCTTGACGGGGATCATCACTGAGCTTGACACGTCCACATTGAAATTCAGCAAACCAGCGATAAATTGTGGTTTTGGATGGGACTTCATCACCAAATGCAGAAATCATCACACTGTTTTTGTGTTAAACCACTTCGAAAGTCATAATAAATCATCGCTCTTGAATTTTCTCGAGTCAATTCCATATTCTCAACGACTAAACAAGTTTGACAAAACCTTGTGACAAGACCGAGAATCTTTTTTAAAATAAATAAATGGTATTCGATTTTTAAAACCAAGGAGTTTCAATTAAAAAGATTTTAATATGACAGGAACAGTGGAAATATTCCATTCCCGATACTTTTAGTGCAGCCTATGAATCTTTCTTTGCATCCTACCCGTAGGGACTGGTTTACTTCTCGCCGGATGATCCCAGCGCTGTTGCTGAGTCTGTCACTGATGTGGTGCTAGAGGGAATGTACAAGAACTATTTATTCCATCATCTGTGGTACCAATCGGAGGCAGATCTCAGCCAGGTCTGGGCCACTGGCCAAGGGCCACTGGCCAAGGGCCACTGGGCCTTGGCCAGCTTGGTCGCTCCTGTAAGACTGCATTACGCAGTAAGCAGGAGTGTTATCAGGCCTGGGCTGACACTTTCGCGGCTTGGGATGTAAACACCAGCGTGCTTAAAAAGAAGTATAACTTTACCTCCAAGTCCTTCAAAAGAGTTATTGCCAAGGCAAAGTATGAGCACATTGGCAGAATTGGCGAGAAATTAGTCCGCCTTCCTTCGGGAACCCGTGCATTTTGGTTTGCAGTTTGGTGTTACTATGCAATTATGTCCTCTACACTGCAGTTTGTAATTGTGACAAGGATATATTACGGTTGGTCGACCTGTGTTTGTCTCATTCCTGATAATAATTAATTGCGTAAGCAAGAGAGCAAGTTGAACATTTTAGGCTCCTTTTTTGTGTCCAAATCGACTCTCGATGACGGGGGCAAATACACCGCCGACCATCCCGCAGTGTGAGTGCTCTATGCCTGAAGTGTGATCCACAAGTCGAGTGGGCGTGACGGAATCCATCCAATTATGCTGACGACGTGCGCTCCAGAGTTGGCACTGGTTCCAACGCGTCTTTCCCGGTACTCCTACTCCCTAGGCAGACAGTCAGACAGCTTACCTGCACCCGATCCCTAAAAAAGGTAACCGCTCTGATACGTCCAACTACAGGCCTATCGCCATCACCTTGTTCTCGAAAATAATGGAGTCCGTTATTAACTGCCAGCTCATGCGGTACCTTAAAGCACCAGCTGATTAGTGACCGCCAGTATGGTTTTCGTCGGTGTCGCTCAGTTGGTGATCTTGTTGTTTACCTAACACACAGATGGGCGCAGGCGAATGAGTCTTAAGGGGGAGGCTTTGGAGGTTAGTTTGGACATAGCGAAGGCCTTCGATCGGGTTTGTCACAAAACGCTTCTTTCGATGCTTCCTTCCTATGGACTTTCCGCGAAATTTTGCAATTGGATCACCAGTTTTCTGGCTGATCGGAGCATCAAAGTCGTAGTAGACGGTGCATGCTCCGATTATAAGCCTATTAACGCTGATGTTCCACAAGGCTACGTGCTATCACCAACGCTGTTTCTTCTGCGTACCAATGACATGTTGCAAACCGGTAACTTTCATTGCTATGCGAACGACAGCACTGGTGAGGCTATACACCGGCCGTGCAAATATTTCTCGGGAAAACATCGACGAGTACCGGAACAAACTTGTGTCTGAAGTCGAGACTTTGTTGAACAAAGTCTCGGATTGGAGTCGACTAAATTTAGTCCAATTTAATTTCCAGAAAACACAGGTTTGCGCGTTTATGGCTAAAAAGAACCCATTTGTCCTATCACCTCAGTTTCAGAGCACTTCTCTTGTTGCCTCAGCCAGTATTAGGGATCCTCGGCGTCGAAATATCGAATGACGTGCAGTTTCGTGGTCACTTGTAAGGGAAGGCCAAATTGACCTCTAACAAGCTTGGCGTGCTCAGCAGAGCGAGACAGTATTTCATGCCGGCACACCGCCTACAACTTTACAAGGCGCAAGTTCGGCCTCATACGGAATACTGTTCTCATCTCTGGGCCGGAGCACCCCAGTGCCAGCTCCTTCCACTTGACCGTATCCAGCGCAGAGCGGCTCGAATCGTCGACGACCGAGTTCTTTCCGATCGGCTTGACTCACTAGCGCTTCGAAGAGATGTTGCATCTCTTTGCTTATTCTATCGTATCTACCATGGGGAGTGATCAGAGGCATTGTTCGGACCGATTCCAGCCGCTCAATTTCACTATCGCACATCGCGATTGAACTCGAAATACCATCCGTACCATCTGGATGATTGGCGATCCACTACTGTGCGTTTTAGCAGAAGTTTTCTTCTTTGCACAACTTCCTTGTGGAATCAACTACAACCAGCAATTTTTCCGGACTGATACGACTTAGGGACCTTCAAGAAAAGAGCCTACTCTTTTTAAAAAGTACGGCAACGCATCTGCAACTTCCCTGGTGTTGCAGTCGTTCATGGACGACGGTGGTCACTTACCATCAGGTGAGCTGTTTCGCACCGAGCTAGATAAGAGTTCGGCGTCCACGAGAGTGTTGACCCTATTGTCAGCTGATTTTATTTTAAGTTTCACTGCTGGTTTTATGTTTAAGTATTTTCATGATTTTTTTATGAAATTATCGTTTCATTTAGCTGTACTAACATGATGGAGCGTGAATAAAGTTAATAAAACGTTGTGAACAGATGATTTTTTTTCCTCGGGATCGAATTTCTTTCTGACCCATCATCAAAAGTATAGTTAGTAGTCTGTCTTCGTTTTCGGGAGCGTTTCACTAATACCAGGTATATTTTGTGCCACGAAATGGATATTTCCCCTCACAATGAATAGTTGATCATACACCTTGACCATTCGGATATGCCAAGGATTCGTGATACTGCTGTCACGCTTGTTGTAGGATTATTTTCAAACGTTTGCAAAATAAGCTCTTCTTCGTGAACAGGTCGGCCTGGATTAGTTCCAGGTTCCTAGCGTTGAACCCTTCCTGTTTTATCAAGGCGACGATACTTATCGTGGAATAGTCTGACGTTCGGCACTCGACGATCAAGATAACGATCTTGATGTAAACATTGTGCCAAAGACCCATTTCCGTTGGCTTTGCCGTACTTGAGAACGATATCAGCGGTCTCTTCATTGGTGAAAGAACTCATTTTATCCCCAAAATTGTTCAAAAATTTCCAAAAAACACGTAATCACAAGTGTAGCATCTCTACGTTAGGACAGATGGCGGAGCTTCAACTTAGCACAGTCAACACACAATAAAAGCTTGGAATTAAAAGTAAATACGTCAAAGCGCACGAGTAGTCGTAGCTAGATTAAAGAAAAATTAAATATATTTATTAGAAATCACTCCACGCCCTATGAGTGCGCTAGTTGAGTAAGGACTCTTAATAACTTACTTAAACCAAAAGAGCTGATGATTTTAAAACAACTAAACAGATTTTCTTGAAACATTGCAAAGAACACTCGATTAAAACACCTTACAAACGAAAAAAAAACTAAATCAAAATCGGTTCATCCGTTCAGGAGCTATGATGCAACAGACAGACAAACAGATTCACACACTGTGTCGGATTTTGTCGGGACGGAATCAAAGGCTTTCTCATAGTCCACATACGCAAGACATAGAGGCAAATTGTAGTCTTTGGTCTCCTGTACAATTTGCCTCAACTCGTAGTTAATAAAAAATGTATTGAAAAAAATATTTTCATTTCAGTAAAAGACTGGCTTGCTTTATTGCCTCCAACTCTTGCTCTGGGGGGCATTTCATATTATTCATATCAAACAATTAAAAAAGCAAAAGAAGCTGGTAATGGTCAAGTAAATCCAGGCATCAAGAAAGATGTAAACAAAGTGGTTGATTTTATTGATATTGAAGATATAACAGAGAAGGCAGCCTTATGCAGGTGCTGGAGGAGCAAAAATGTAAGTTGACGTAACAAACTTTGAACTGCCAGACTTCTGCTCATTATATAATATCACTTATGTGCCAATAATATGTATCTTTGCATAAAATGTTGACTCCAGCTGAAACTTAAAACCTGCAGCATAGTAGTCAGGCATGGTGACCGCTGAGACATGCAGTTATCAGCCACAGCAGTAGTAGATGTAGAAGTTGCATATAAGTATGACAGAAAGTTAGGTGCAAACTATAAAGATGTTCCTTTATTTCTAAACATCCATCATCCATAAATATTTCATTGGACATATTTTTTACGCGCTTAAAACAATGGTCGTGTTCCGATATACACTGCGAGCACTGCTTAGTGCTCTCATTGGTGAAAAATTCGTTCCGTTGCAAACTGCCAGTATACTGCCGTAGTACACATATGTAAATCGCCGCCATTTTTGTACTGTGACCACTACTGGGGCTTTCGAGGTATGGTGCTCTCAGTACTTTGATCACGTGATCAAAAACATAACAGCGTCTAGAGATTTAACAGTTTCCACGAATGATTGTTATTATTATTAATTAATATTGTTATTCAAATAAACTCAGACATTAAGTTTTAAAAGCATTCAAATAATATTTTATCCTTGTTGAACAGAAAACGTGTACATTTCATTTGAAAACAGTGTCGAAAAATGGAGATGACAGTATACTGTACTGTGTTCCGTTTTAAACAGTAACCAGTATAGCATACTAAAAAGAAACTTTTTCACAGTACACACAGTCACATAGTACAGTTGTCACAGTGTATATCGGAACATACCGAATATCACGAAGAGTTAGCCAATTTTACTGATGAATGAGTATACTTGCACAGTAGTCCATAAACATTTCAATTTGGTTATAATTTAAGTCTGTTTATATTTTGGGTGTCTAAGAGGCGACTATGGGAAGACAAAAAGATCTCAAGGTCATCGATAGATGACGGTATTACCATGCTGTATGTTACCGTTACAGCTTATTAAAATCCACTGCTGAACATAGGCCTCTCCCATAGATTGCCTCATATGGGGAATATTTGTCATAGTTGCCACGCTTGGCAAGCGGTCTGGCAACCGCAGTTATTATTTTTAGTCGTTATTAGGAAGACGCTGCTGCCCATTTCCTGATTTGTTTTCCTCTGTCGCCTCTTACAGCACCCACTGGCTGATAATGATTAGTGGATATTCTTACACCACTACTACACGTCAACTACTACTGTATGTACTGAATATTAAATATCTAGTCCGACGATAGCGAGAAGTGTCACATATCTTCTGATATTGCCATTACCAATCTGTCTGACAAATGTGGCGATTTTAGAAACTCCTTACATGATGGGCGAGGTCTATGTCCAACAGTGGACTGTTATAGGCTGATAAAGAAGTTGTGTTGGAACTCACTGGATAGGGAATCATTTGTTATTACATGATTGTATTATTAAGCAATATATCTTTCTGCTAATTTCTATTATTTACTTATGAAATGAGTATACCTTGTATTTCTGTTGATGTAATTCACTTATCATTTATGAAGCCATATCTTTAGCACTGATATAGTAATTCCTTTATCTCAAACACAAAACTCTGTACCTACATATGTACATTTTATTGCATCCATTTACACATTCTATAAATTTTGAAATGTTGTAATTTTATGTTTCTATAAGCTCTGTTCTGTCTTTGACAAACTAGCTTGATAAAAGCGTCACTGACTTTTTTATTTCTTCCACTGCATACAGTACACTTTCATATTCATTAAGTTATAAAAAGCATTGAAGTAATATTTACTACATACTAGAAAAGACGCTGAGACCTTGTTGTTTGCACTTTACAACACATGTTAAAGGCCACGGGCTCCAACTTAGTTAGTCTGTGGCATAAAAAGATACTTTGGGCTGTGTTCAAAGTTTACATACATACATACATACATACATACATACATAAATACATAGGACGAGTGTGAATTAATTCTTATGCTAATTGTCTTAGATCAAAATAAAAGTTAACAATAATGTTATTTACCTATAATTATTAATTAATGTTTTATAATTTAATTTCAGTGGCCTTACTGTGATGGCGCTCATGGGGCTCACAATAAAGCAACGGGGGACAACACCGGACCAGTTGTTGTAAGACATAAGGAGAATAAGTAAACATGTGCATCACATTAGTTATTGAAAATACATGAATGTCAACATGAGTGATAAAAATGTGATTTTCTTAGGATAGGCATTCTTGACACTTAGTGATTAAATTACTTCTGATAAAATCACTGCATTTGGTGAGCATTTAAAAATAATTCGTTGAACAGTTTAAATAACTTAGAAAATTTGTTTAAGGGCAGTTAACAACAGGTTCATCTCAAAAGTGTAAAGTATGCCTGTAGTTTAAGCTTAAATTGTTATATTTTAATCATAAATCAATGGGAAAAAGGTGTCAGAATAAAATCATTTTATAATATTAAAAATAATTTATTTAAAAACATCAATTTTCAATTTACAATTTTTTTAATTACATCCTATTCTTTATACAATGTTTTAAGAATTTAATGGAACGAAATGCCTTATTGAACAATTTACAATAAAATTTTATTCCAAATTTTATTTTTATTTTCTTTTATTAATTTTTACACAACAGGACGTACTTAGGTGTCATTTTAATTAGACCAATAATCTCTTATTTCTATCAAATCACAGACTGATATACATATTTTGATCCTAATAATAAAGTTCTTTAAGATCTAATAATAGATACCTTGAACTTGCCACTTAATTCTTTAATGACTAAGTTTTATTATAATGCATTTTATATGGCACAAGGTAGTTTGTGTTTTTTTATATATAATTATTGCAAAACACCACATTATCCAAAACAATATACAGGAGTGCATAAATCAATAAAAATTATTCAAAATATGAAACTACAAGGAATCATTGTTGGTTTGTTTTTGTTAAAATAGTGTATAATTTCAGTTAAAAAAATATCACAATGTTATTATTTTATCACGAAAGCAGTGCGCGGCTAGAAAATAAAATAAATATTGCGATCAACGTTATATTAAATTCAGTCTTCTTGATTAAGAATCGATAGATCAGCGTCATTTACCAAGAAATGGTACGAAGTCTTCCTAAAGAGTTATTATATACACTACAACGTTTACAAGTCTTCGTCTAATGGGGCCTATATACCATCGGCTATGATTGACAACCACAGAATGGGGCAAGATTGTCACAATCATTGTGCGGCTGCCCACACAATCGTGCATCCTACATGTTTGTATTGTCATCTGTCTGAGATGGACGTTGAAACAGTAGCAGCTGCCGCTATTTATTTAATTCATTTATAATATAACTATCATTTAAATGTACACCATAAAAGAAAATGAAGGTGAAAAAAAAGGAAGCAAATAAGGTGGTTGTTAACTATACACCGAAATAGAACAAGGTAAGTTTACAGATCATCGGTGTTCGGCGATCGTATAGGCGCGCGCACGATCATGGCCAAACTTCCTTTGATGTTTGTCCGAAAAACCGACACAGCGGCCATTACGCTCGATCATTACCGATCATGGGCAGTTATAGGCGATTATGCCCTCTACACGATCGTGATCCTTAGAATTCGTCCATCATGGCAGATGATGTATAGGCCCCATAAAATGTATGTGTAGATTTTCTTCCAAGGTGATAATATGACTTTACAACTGCAACAGAAAAGCGAAACTTAAAACTGGAGATTTATGTATGAAACAAAGATATTGTTTATTCTTATTTTTAATAAATAGACTACAAATTATTATCTCGAGTGTAGAAGATAGAAATATTTAAATATTGATTTACCATAACCATAGATTACCTACCTTAGGAGGTAATCTATGACCATAACCGATTGAGACCGGTATCAACTTAGAATTTTTTCGATTTTTTTTAGGATACATGTAGTTGCCTATGGGCCACAGCATCCACATACAATCAGGTGGACTGTGTGCTTGTTTGTCATCCTTATTCTATAAAAAAAAAAAAACATGAAAATAACCCCTGACAAAGAAGTGAACGCTATTGGTTTTTTAGTACTAATTCATTAATTCTTATTAATAATTGTGTAATATTATTGTAATCTTTTATATCTAAAAAAAAATATTCTGCTGGATTTCTGACTGGTTCTTCCCAGGACAGAAAGCTATTTTTGGAACTAGTGATAAATAGAAATTGGACTTCCAATAAGTGTTGTAATAATCTTTATTAAATTAAAAAATATTCTGGTACTCAGTGAATCTATTAAGTGCACAAGAGATATCATAGTGCTATGAGCACACGCTCTAATGCAAAACAATTCGTCTAACCTACCTGTGCCACAAATAGCGTTTATGAGATAATATTATCGAAAGTAGTTGCATAGGAAAAAATAACAAACTGGACAGGAAAATTAACAATTAGTGATTTTTGCACATATAAATTTTGCCTCTGGCTTGATTTGTGCAACCCAGCACATGTGATGTAGTGGCCAAGTACTCACTATATAATATATCGAGAATAGTACGTATGGTTATTGTAACCACCTACTTTGAAAAGGGATAGATGTAAGACAGTTATATATGAAGAAAATGTTTGAAATTTGTTTTGCTTTTATATTTGGCTCATTGGATAAAAACATCGTGAGGAATATCATCAATATCAGTAGAAACATCGGCGGTGAAAGAAAACATCGTTCTGAGGAAACCGGCATGTCTGAGAAATAAAAAAATTTTTCGAAGACATTTGAAGTTTATTCGTGGTAGAGTCATGCTGCAGCTATATTTCTGGTATAGTTGTAACACGAATGGGTCGGCTCGACCGGGGAAGGACCACGCTCTCACAGAATACCAGCGTAAAATAGCAGCTTAATGCTGCTGTGTTTCGTATGGTGAGTGTAGAGAACCGGAGACCCTTTTTACTGGAAACGAGGCATTCCATCTTAGTCCTCATCATCGCAACAACGCATCTGCATTTTGATTCGTAATCGAGGATAAATGTAAATGTCTACGGGTCACAGCAACCACTTACCATCAGGTGGACTGTGTGCCCGTTTGTTAACCTTATCCTATAAAAAAAAAGTTCGCCAACATGGATTGGGGTAGCGCGGCGGACATTTCCTTGCCCTAAAACCTCGGAAATGACAGGAGGCCTGTGTCCAGCAGTGGGATGAGTATAGGCTGTAACTTTATCTACTTTTTTCTTTTACGTAATATGATACTTTCTTGGTCGTTTTATATCACTACCCCCCAAATAGTACAGGGGGCTGCTAATTTGGCAGAAATTTAAAAACAAAGTTGCAAGGTTACTTAAACGACGCGCGGGTTTTGCTAGTTGTCATCTTAATGTACGATATTTTTATCACTATAGCTGTTTTCAAAATATTCTTACGTTACTTACTTCAATTCTGGTCTCTGCTACATTCTCTTCGTTTCTTAGAAGTTCATGCTTGAGGCCATTTCTCTTCCTTGAAAATGTCAAGATAGGTTAATATAATATCACCCTTATATATCAAAAATGCGTGGCAACCAGTGGCGTAGCATGGGCAGTTGTCGCCCGGGCACCCTGACCCTCTCATTTTTGAAGTATAGAATCGGTAAAAGTTTTCTGTGATCTTTGCATGTTACTGAACAATTAATTAAACATGTACATATTTTTATACTATTTTCAAAACTTGATGCTACAGTATTGGTAATATTTTGAATTTTTAATCAAAAGCATTTATTTTTAATGGCATCATTCAAAAGGATAAGATAACTTTCCTTGCTAAACCACTGACAGCATAAGCTCAGAGGGTATTAAGCATTCGCTTTATAAACTTCACACCTACACAGTACAGTAGATAACCGAGTTCGATCCTCATCGGCACCAACGAAATTTTAAGTGCTGATTTTGCACCTGCTCGGCGATTAACAATAACATCACGAAAACCGTCGTGTCTGAGAAATTGGAAAGACATATTTCAATTTGAAGTCCGCCAACATGCTATAGGGCACGAAGGAATCGTTCTTGCTTAATTATGAGCATAAGCCAACGCCCAACCGTGGGACGTATATACTTATATAGTTATGTTTACTAGACGTTGATAATGAAGGATCAGCATTTGAAGTCGATAAACATAATGGCGAATTTGTGCTGGCAGTATAATTACTCATTAGTTTTTGTAACTCTATAAAAACATTTCACCGTTAATGAGACCGTTTCTTTAGAACTCTATTTTGCATAATTATTTCTAATCAACATTCTACAATTTTTTGTCAAAGTTTTTTGAAAAGTAAAATTGAGTACATGTTGTCTGGGCTTAAAAAAAGTGTCTGCCTCGGTGTATAAATTCAATTCCTTAGCTGATCGTAGTGTGTAATGTAATCAACCGTCGATCGTTTACGTCAGGAACTATAGAAGATCTATCAAACTCGAATAAACCTGTTCAAAACGTAACTTGTTTTCCTTTTTTTTTACAAGTTCCACTCTTTTTACAACGCATTTCCGTCTAACTTGACCGCTTCCTACGCAGCGGTGCATTGGGAAGACACACATATTAAGTTACCCTACACAATGGCCGCTTCACATTACATGGGAAGCCACAAATAAAGCGAGTGTGAACCTACGCGCATTGATATGGAAACCTTATAGTGAACATATGAGAATTTTATGTGCCATGTTTAACCATAAAGCTTGCTTCTAATAAAATTGTTCATTTCCAAACGCAGCGGTTCGTGAAATATTATGTATCTATAAAATGTAAAAGAATTTTTGTAAAAGAAAATTATTGTTGTTTACTCAACCGCGGTGCGATGGTGTAACTCTGGTAAAAGTCGTGGTTGGGTTCACGTGATGTTTGACGTTTGGTTTCTTTCTATTGTGTAAATGTATCGGTATCGATTAAAAGCCGATGATGTATTTATAAATAAATATGTTCTTTTAGGTTTCAGTGTTAACAAAAAATACATAACGTATTTTCAAAGTGCTTCCGCCCGGAAAACGATTCCTACCAGTGTCACACAATCGCACTGCAGAAAGGCAATACATATAGCGTAAGGTTAAAAAACTACATTTTAAAGGAATACTTACATCTTAAAATTGTAAGAAGGTGAGAGTTCTCGGTAACTTCCTAGAGTGCTACTGCTATCGCAAATCGAAACGTATTATTGGAGGACATAGTAATTAAGACTTTTGTTAGTATAAAAACATTTAATGAAGAATGTCCGTTCCGTTTTCTTCCAAATGTAGTTGTTTAACCTTACACGATGTGTACTTACAAATTATTCAAGTATTTCGTGATAGATGGCATTCTTGAAAAAGGTCTATATTTATGTCCAGGAGTAGAGTAAAAAGTAATAGGAAAGTAGTACGTAAGTAAATAAGTTCCGTCGTCCTAATAGTAAGTAATGCTTATCCGTTTATCGGCGAAATATCCGGCTAAAAATCAAAGAACACTTAGACTTAATTGCAGATCGTGTTTAAATCAGTTAAACCACAAACATAGCGTAAGGATTCTATTTTTTTCCTTATAAAAGTTTTAAGGAGATCTGCATTCTACATTAGAACATAATATATAATAGGTTATTACTTTACAATTGATATTT